GTTCAGGGCGGGTGTGGGGTGTCTTTTCAAACCTGCAGTATCATGTCATGTTTACTGTCATGTTACTCAAAGAAATGTTTGCAAAAAATCGCTAATATTTGCTAACTAACATCATATCGTTACAGACTACACAATAGTGCCACAACATATTTTCATGTCTGATCAGGGCGATAACCACCGTAGACATTGAGGAGGGTTAGTCCCCCTAATAATTAGAAATCGCTAAACCCTTTTCTCAAATATTGCTAATTCGAGAGAGAGAGAGAGAGAGAGAGAGAGATGAAAGTTGCGTGTATGCACGTCTCTTTTTAGAGTGAGTTTACTTAAAAAACAGCGATTTTATCCTCTCGTTGCTGGAAAATATAATGTAGCGATTCAGTATTTAAACTGTTATTAATAAAAGTCGTGGGGCAGCGTTGACAAGTTTCTTTTCTCCTGGATGTGTGAGCTGCGCGATCTCCGATATATATATATATATATATATATATATGTGTGTGTGTGTGTCAGTAAGCAGCGCATTAATATAGAATGGTAATTAAAGGCTCTAATGCACACCAGCACACCAGTATAGGTGTGTATATTGTAGGAGCTAGACAACGTATGATGACGTGTGACGGCATAGTAGTGGTGTCCCAATTCTTAGGGGAATATTTTCACAGGGGTATAAAATAGAATTGGGATTAGGCCTTATACTGTGATTTGTGAGGATTCTTACCACAAATGAGAAACCGTCTTTCTGGGCCTGTTCCTTGCCACTGTGCACCCTGACCACAGAGTCAGCGCTGGATGCGTTCACATGATCTAGTCCGCAGACCAACCTGACATACAACACAAAGACATAAACATCTCCCGCCACAAAAACAGTGAACAAGATGTGGTTGTAAACCAGTGGAGTAAGCAGGCTATTAGTCTACGCTAATTTAATGATAACCGTACTACTCGGCAGAAACTACACAGGAGCTATTCTCTAAGGGAATTTTTCCATTCCTCTCACAATAGGAAGGCTGTAGGGTGGTATGTCCGGGGGCACAAAATCTCATGGGTTTTGTGTCTTAATGGTACGAAAATTTGACATGGAAGGCCGAGATGCACAATAGAGCATTTTTGCAGACCGATTTAATGTTCTGCAGGTTTGCAACATGAGCGCTATGTTGAGAATGTGACCTAGTGTGTTTCTGAAGTTGTATTTACACAGAGTGCAAGAGGATTTGCTGAAATTCAAGAATAAGGTTTATCTATTTCATTATTAACTTACCGATTATTGCTGCTGTCTTTCTTTTCCAATTTACACTTTGCTCCAGCAACCACCACGTCAATCAGTTTGGTATCAAAGCGATCTTTCTTATTGAAACCAAAGTTTTTGCCACAGATTGTCATGTTGGTGTGACCTCCGAGTGGAGCAGAGGAAGGAGAAATCTAGAAAAAGAAAGAAGAAGCTATGAGGTCAAACTGTGACAATACTCTTCTTTCAGTGTCTAAACCTCCTGCTGCGTTTCTTTATGCCAAGCATTTTCTCTGCTCATGAGGTTGGTAACCACTGACAATAATTTGTTTTGGGTGTATGGACACTGAAGGCAGGGGGTCTTCCAGTAAATGGTGACAGAGACAAAAACTGAGAACAAAACAACCTTCCTTTGTGCTTTAGTCTCTTGGGTTATAAAGTGCCCTTTATGTTGAGCCACCAGCTGAGTACCTTAAAGGTGAAGTGTGTCATTTTTTCTGTGGTAAAATACTTCACGTATCCCAGTTTAACATGCTCAAAAAACTGTAAGTAAGCCATTTATTGGTTAATTTAATAAAAAAAATAATAAAATAAATTTATTTAAAAAATTTATTTATATATTCATATAAACATTTATTTATTTAAGTTACTTAAAGCTGTTTCTTTGTCGCCATCTCTGTTTGAAACCTGCAATTGCAGTTATTTGCAGAATTATTTTCTTTGCGTGGGTTGTGCACTGACACGGCTCCTCAGCACGGATGAATCTAATGTTTTGATGTGTGGCTGTCAGTCACCGCACTGGTGTAGATACTGTACTTAGGAAATCACAGATTCTAGTCTATGTCTAGGAATATATGACCCAAATAATTTTTACCGGATATTGTCATCTGAACAAGTAAGTAACAAGTCTGCCACTTTTGTTCTGACCAACTGAGGAAAAAGCATTACAATAAATCGCGCTACCAATGGTGATTAAATCTAACGATCGGTTAGCTCATATCACATCAAACCATGTAAATGATTAATTTATTGTTTTACTTTGTTCTCAAATTATTAATGTTAACAACATCAGCATTGCGTGACTACATGTATGTAGTGTATTAGCATTACATGTAGATTTCAATTTCTGTACAGTCATTCAAATTTCATATATTGAAATTCTTTTAACCCAAAAAGTTATTTTTCCTTAGAAATGGTTTTCTTTAAAATACAAAACTTGTGTAATCTCACGTAGGCTATCTGTAATCAGGTGCACATTTAAAACTGGAATATAATCTAATTTCAGTCACTTACATGTGTTTCATAAACACATAATCCTTTCTGGATTACAATCTGCCATCAAAATTATAAATTTAATTATTCCAGCTGCTGTGAGAAAAGGCTATAAACGATCCGCCACCTGCAGCATTCTAATATGCGATATAGCTATATATAACTTCTTTACATTTACAGAAGTAACGTATTGATGCTGCAGCATTATTTCTTAAGTAAATTTACTTAAGAAATAAGTAAATAAAAATTTGAAAAATAAGTAAATAAATTGAAATAAAATAAATAAAAAATTTAATAAAATTAAATAAATTGTATTATTAATTTATTCATAATAAGTGTGTACAATGTGTTTTCTGAGTGTCCTGTTTCTGAGATGTTAGTTCTTTATTGATAAGTTAATAAATGTTCAGAGCACCACTTATCATAAGAAAAGAGATCTTACACAAATACAAATATAGTTCTGGCTGCTCTGCAACAATGCACAGATTTAGAGAAGGCACAGAAGGGCAAACTAATCCTTTTTGATATTTAGAATCAATTTATGTCTTTAAAAGAAGCCAAGAGGTCCTTGAAATCCATGCTTATCCCTGAAAATACTGCAAAACAGGCTAAATCAATGGAGGTCAGAGATTTGTATGTGCTCTCTGTACTTGGAAAGCACTTATTCTATTAGCTATGTACTATTAGCTGCTTTAAAACCATGGTAATGTTGGGCCGGGTGTTTACCGTGGTGATAAGGAGGGGGCAAGTGTCCTGGATCCAATGGGAGGGGGAGCACCGAGGAGCCCTTGTGCAGCGATCACTGGTCTTGCACCATCCGCAGCCCATGAAGGCTGGAGCCAGAAGACAGGAGTTACAAGTCCACAGCTGTTCACATCCAGGGCCTCTCAGAGGAACCTTAGAGACCTGAGGAACATGATATTAGACTTTAAATTACATTTAGCAGATGATTTTATGCAAAGCAACTTGTTGACAACATTTTTCAGAGGAGGTGACTTACTACTGATGTCTCTCTATTGCAGTCATACCCTGTTTACTATATCAGTTAGTCTTAAATCACCAGTGTGTTTGCTATCTATTCACAAGTGATTTTCCTGAAAATGTTTGACCTGTTCCCAAAGACATTTTTAAGAATGGCCGTGTTGTTCACCTTGTTTCCTGTTACCAACAATAAGGAGCCGTCATGACGCTGTGGAGACAGCAGCGCCATCTCGGAGGACACAGGGAGAGCGTCCAAGCGGAAATCCACATGCGGCTCCGTCTTGCCAAAGCGGGAAACCACCACCTGCGGAGGATGCCAGCAAAAATGGGTGGCCTTTCACATCAAAATCCTAAACGGTAAATGCAGGACCTTAATAGAGAATGTGTATGGTTACAAAAAGACCACAACAGCATGTTTATCGTTTACTGGAATAAGTCTGCATTCCACATTGATGATTAAATGCTGCTATTGAATGATTTAAACCTTGTGGTTTCTGGTGCAAGCTATTTATAGAGGACACAATTTGGATCAGGTCAACAGCAGGTCACATGACAATGGTCTAATTTGTTTAAGGTTTTTTTCTATATAAAGGAGTCCTATTTAAGGACCATTAAAATATTTTGCAGTATGACCTTATTTTCATGACAAAAAAAAAGGATATTTTACCAATGAATCCAGTAATGGATTTTTTAAAAATAAAATAAAATTAAATTAAAAAATGTTCTTATGTTTTAGGGTGAAATACCACTTCCAAAAACCTGAGAATATACAAGACCTTATTCCTGAAAAACAAACGTTCTGCATGGAGTTGGTGCAAACCCGTTATTGTTTCCTTCCAGGTTATAAAACATTAAATTACAGATCATGTTTGGAACTTTCCTTGGGAAAGAGGAAGCATCAAAGGAGGGTGCAATCCAGAGGCAGTCTTTGTATGGGGAAAGCCTCTGCTTTGCCATGGATACTGTAATAACCAATGTCTCTGCCTTTCAGGGTAAAAGATGACAGATTGAACTGCGATGACTGCGGTTGATGTCAAGGAGTAGGAACAGACAAAAGCTTAGGCCCTAGGGCAAGTGCAAACATAAAGACCTCTGTCTATCTGGCGTGTTGGGAGGTGTCAGAACAGTGGCTCCATCCACACACCTGGACTAACATTTATCATGGTTACATTGCAATTACAGGCCTCCAAGACAGCCTATGTCTGAATAGTGCTTGTGCTCCATTAGCGATCAGTGGATCACATCATTAATAGCCCTGGGCTTTGAGCATGGGGCATCTGGTGGCAGAGAGTATGTCATTACTGTGGTTTTAGTGATTTTAGGATGGTGTGCGTGACATATCTCCATCTCACTCAATACAGAGCACTAATGTGACTCCAATTGTGGTCTGTTTTAAAAGCCCAATCTTTAGATTAGTAACATATCAGATCAGACTGTAGAAAGTGTCAATGTTCAGTTATTACCTTAAGGAGCTATTTCTTTTTTTTATCTTTCACTGGAACAATACATGTAGCCAGGGCAATTCACAATACTGTTTTATTACATGAATAAAAGCAGTTGATTTGGGTGCATTTTTTTTTTGCATTACCTGACAATACACAATGTAGTCCATGCAAGCTCTAATTACAGATTTACAGGAACACAAGTTTCCAAAACCTACGGTGTGGGAGGGAAATTCCTCTTGTCACATTTATTTTTTTTACAGACATTAAAACATAGACTGCTATATAAATATATTTCATTTAATATTTATTTAATAGTATAGCAATTTCTGTTCTACGTAAATAGTATATTATTTTTAAAATGTACAATTTTTAATAAATTTAAAATCATTTATATAATATATAAAATATAAATAGTATCAAAATAATCAAAATAATATAAATAGTAAATTCTATTTATTTAAAAAATTTTAATATAGTTATTCGGTGCCTTGGTGCTGCACAAATGCAATGTGCTACATTCATGATTCCAAAACAAGAACCCACAGCTAAAACTTGGCGAGTTTCACATGGCCCAGAAAGTTTCCAATAGCGTTAAGCCATAAAAGGATTTCGAGTCCCAGAAGCAACCAAGCTAAACCAGGCTTAATTAAGCTGGGCATGGCAGAAAATGGCTACAAATGGACCTGTTATTGAAGGAGGAATGTTACACACTCTGGGGAAAAATACACACCGCGAAGCCCTAATAACCGTGTGAATTACAGCTCATTGTGTATGTAAGGGAAGTCCTACTCACAAACACAAGGCAAGGTGTTGAGTTTTTCCTCACCGAGAGTGTGGCAGAGTGGGAGCACTTCCTCATACAGAATAAGGACCACTGGGACTGTTATTGCACTGCGCCCCCCACTTCCCAACCTTTTAAAAAACTTGTGGGCTCTTGAAACTTTCATTTACACAATTAGCCACTACTCACTGGCATTCCATATTTTATTCAACTTCATCAGTCTTTCTCACAATCTTGTTTTTTTGCATTCTCATTGTCAAGGCCTCTTAAACACTCACCCACTCTCTTTGTTTTTGAAAAAACTCTCTCTCGAATGGGACAGCTGGACTAGCACTCACCGCTTACCAGGCCTTCCTCCACATCCAGACAAAAGAGGCGAGAAAAGTTGAGAGGAAAAAATAAAAAAAGGAAGAGAGAAAGAGAGGGAACGACAGCTGCAGCCGTTCCAAGAAAATGCCATGCGAGGACGTGTCATCGAAGCCCAGTGCTTACTATTAACGTACCATTCGGTTCCTCCGCCACTCTTCCGTGCAGCTGTCACCCTTTCTCTCGCCACTCATTCATTCTCAAACATTTTCCTGTGGTATTTACAAAATACCACAAGTCTCTATCTCACACAATTCCATGAGCAAATAGTCTCATTTTTGGTGCTCAAGCCGGACAGATTCAATATTTGGGTTGGTGCCACTCCTGCACAATGAACATGTTGCGAAAACATTGATAGGCAAAGTTTCACCTTGTGTGCTTTTAGATTGGAGAGCTGGTACAGTGCTGCTCAGGAGGTCAAAGTTGAATCAAATGCAAACAGGAAAAGACCATATTTCCCAACCTGCCACTGGCACCTGCATTTTCCTTCATTCTGAGCTGTTTTCACTAGTCACATACTTACATCCTGTCTATTTACATGCACAATAAAACAGGGAAATAGTGTTGGCAACAACAGGACTTTGACAAAAAGTATTCTGATTTAATTTTAGATTCTGCAAATGCTTCACCATTTCTTTTCCCAGAATGAGGTCAGCCACATTTTTTCTAGCACTATGGCACATACTAAACTCATATATTCAATCTAAATGCTGATTTGCTAATCCAGACATTATGTAAGTTTAGCTTTAATAGTGAATAAATAAAATAAATGTCTCACCTGGATGACGCGGCCCTCAGCTGTGCCTAGGCTGACCACAGTGTGGTTTTGGATGGGCACCACGGCTATGGAAGTGAGAAGAACATTCCGGAAGCGTCCGTGGAAGTAGTCCCGACGCGGATTGGTGCTTGTAACCTCTAGCCGGTAGCCCCTTTCGTGTTTGCCACAGCTGAAGGAATCTCCTGCAAAGCTCTGGTAACAAAAACAGAAACACAATGACAAGTTAGACAAGTGGTATTCTACCTGGCAACAAGCAGAAGCTCTTAACAGCCTATTGGTGTGGATGAATTCTGCAGCACTGCCATTTTTCCAGAGGACTAGCCTCCACTATGCCAAATGCAATTTGTGGGTTAGATGCTTGTGCAAAAGAGTGACTTAGGCCCCACACAGTAAATCTCCATCTAAGCTCGGCATCTACCGTTTCATCCTGGCCAATGCAGTTGCGTGTTTTCTCCCATGGTGCTTGGATCATCCTTGCCGCGTTCAGACGGCTGTGCTCACAGATGGCAGGAATTCATGGGAAACTGTGAGGAACGTTGGGCTTGCTGTTGCTCTGTTAGAGCTCCAATTGAGGCCAGCTTTGTTTGGCTGGGATCTCTACAACCTGTGGAGTTTTGGAAGTTGCAGAGAGGCTGTATGGTCCCGGAGATATAAAAGGGGCCATATTCATAACACTTCTGTAGCATTTAATTCTTTCCACCTGAATTACACTTATGTCAAAAAACATTCAGAATTAGGTTTTTATGAAACTCAAAATCTATCTATTTCTGCGACTGTACCTTTGCGACTGTACCTTTTAATACCTTTTCTTGTATTGTATGATGATCTCTGTTATGATTTTTCTGTACCTGCATAGTTCGCACAGTCATACATCAGGGCAGGCCAAGTTGATTAAACCAAATAGGCACTGAGGGAAGGAGCTTTGTGTTGTGAACATTAGATAATCTATCAACTTACTATTTCAAAAGAAAAAGCCTTTTTCCCTGACATGCCCCCTTTAAGAAAACTATACTTACATTTTGACTATACTTAAAGGCAAAATGTAAAGATAAACCTGTCATCATTTATTCACCTTTATATCATTTCAAACTTGTTTTATGTTCTTCTGTGGAAGAAGAAAGAACAAATTTTAAAGACAATATTGTCTGCTTTCAATATAATGAAAGTGAATGGGTCAAGCGGCACAATTAAAAAGTTATCATTTAAATACCAATATTTGCATGAGAGATGGACCACATTTGAAGTCATTCCTCCCTGATAGTTTGGGGTCGTACAATTTTTTTATGTTTTTGAAAGAAGTCTCTTATGCTCACCAAGGCTGCATTTATTTACAATTTAAAATACATCCATGCTGAATAAACTTATTTATTTAAAAATAAACTTTTGAACAGTAAAGTAGATCAAATCAACTAGATCATTTGTGAAAAAAATAATTTAGAATATCAACAGATTCATTAAAATTCTGACTCAAAAGAATATTTTATTTATGAATTGGACTTCTCTCATGAGCTCTCAAGAATGTTTCTATGATTTAAAAAAAAAAAAAGTAAATTCCAGTTCCTTATAAAACGAGGTCTTGGAAAATAGTGCACAAGACAGGGACTACATTCATGATACACAGACAGCTTGACAATCCTTATTAATTTTCATTACATTGAAAAGATCAGAAAAAAGGGTTTTGAAACACCATGTGAGTGAGTAAATAATGATAAGATTAAAAGGGACAATTAAAAGGATAGTTCACCCAAAATGAACATTCTATTATCATTCACTTACTTTCATGTAATTCCAAACCTGTATGACTTTCTTTATTCTGTGGAACACAAAAGAAGATAATGTGTGCACATTGGTCACCAAAACTGTTTGGTTACTAACATTCTTCAAAACATATCCAAGTTAGAGATTACCTCAGAGTAATCTGAAAAGAAACGGGGCACCTGAGGCCTACACAGTGGTCAAGCTCAAAGGGTCACAGACCCTAGTATGAAAGTAAAGAAGTCATTAATAATTAATGAAACCAGACCCTGGCACCACAGGCCATGACTAAAATGTTGGAATACAGAGAACAGGTAGTTAATGATTAACACCATGCTCATTCAAACTCTTCTCAGATGGTGTTTTGTTACACTGTATGGTGAAGGCGCCCTGACAAAAACACTAAAAAGACACCCATGAAAAATCAGACAGGCATAAAAAGGACACTCCATCCTGTGCCAGAAACGTTCTCACTCTTTCTACCCCTCTTTCATTGGCGATGTGAGTAAGACGCATGAGTCAGTGGCATGACTGCGGTTGCAGCTTCATTTTGAGGGCATGTCTCAAAGGGCTGCTTTGAAGATGCGGAGAACAATACAGGTAGACGATAAATCAGGCCGAACGAGCGCTGGGTCCTGCTCTCATTACAGGGGGATGGCTCAGAGGCACAGAATCAGTATACAGGTGAAAAAGCGAAAACGAGGGGGATTACAGGCCAGCTTATCCCAACCCCTGAAGGCAGAGGAGGACTTCTGCCTATTGAAGGAGCAACAAAACAAGAGAGAGTGTGACACATGTAGCATGAAGCGGCCAGGGAAATCATCCAAATGTGTACAAGCCTGCCTTTGATGTGTCTTCAGCAGGGCACGTTTGCTTTGCCGAGTTATATAAGCCCACCGCGATCCATCATAACGGCCGAGCTGCCACATATTTCAATTGGACTTGTGTAAGAAAGCACCGTGGTTTGGAATTGATTTGGGGGGGCTCTCTGAAGCCTAACCTATCAGCAGCTGAGCACAGCCCTAACAGCCTGTTTTAGAGGAAGAGAAAAAAGGTTTGTGGGATTATTTTCACAGCAAACAAATTCACGTTTCGCAGTGTGTTTGAAAAGGAAGACATTCCACTACTTAGCTCATGGTATTTCAAGGATCAAGGGTAGAAATCGAAAAACCCAGACAGTGTTTTGACAAGCTTCGGTTGCTCTGATCCCGAGGCTCCTCCAACTGAGTGACTTGCAGGGTTGTCGGATTTTGTTCTCGTCATTTCTCGCTTCATTTATTAAAAGGAATATTCAGGGTTCAACACAAGTTACACTCAATCAACAGCATTTGTGGCATAATGTTTATAGAGTGTTGCAAGGACGACATATTTTTGTAGGCTAACCCTGAAGTCAGCATTACCCTGGTCCCATCAACAAACAGCCCATAGGACTTTTCCATTGGCTTTTGGATTATGGGAGAAAATATGATCTGTGACCATCTAAATTTTCTGATTCTCATATGCTTTATTTATCAAGACAATCTTCACAATCATTCCAAGTGAATGCTGCACACTGGTGGGGGTTGAGGAGAGACCCCCCCCCCCCCCATGTTTGAAAAGCATTTGGGGTGACCCGAAATACAACGAAACG